TTTAGTAGAGACGGGGTTTCACTGTGTTGACCAGGATGGTCTCGATCTCTTGACCTCGTGATCCACCCACCTCGGCCTCCCAAAGTGCTGGGATTACAGGCTTGAGCCACCGCGCCCAGCCGAGAGGGACTTATAAAAGACAGAGGTTGGAAAGATGGTGATTAGTAAACCAGAATATTGGTGGGGGGATGTGGCTCTCGCCTGTAATCCTAGCGCTTTGGGAGGGCGAGGCAGGCAGATTGCTTGAGCTCAGGGCTTCGAAACCAGCCTGGACAACATGGCAATACCCCGTCTCTACAAAATATACAAAAATTAGGCGGGCATGGTGGCTCATACCTGTAGTCCCCCAGCTACTCAGGAGGCTGGGGTGGGAGAATCACCTCAGCCGGAGGAGGTGGAGGTTGCAGTGAGTCAAGATTGTGCCACTGCACTGCAGCCTGGGTGACACAGCGAAACCTTGTCAAAAAAAACAACAACCCAGAATATTATGCTAGCCCAAGACCTTGTGATTCTTCTGCTTTGGTAACTTTGACTATTTGGGGTCATCTAACTCCGGCTGATTGGACAGATATGATTGATACTGATAGTTTATCCACTTTTGGCTACAGACTACATGTGACTACATTTGAAAACCAAATCCCACAGGCAGCCAGCATAGACTGGGGACTGCCGGAAGCCTGGGCCTGCAGGGACGGGGCCGGCCAGCTGGGGTTGTCAGCCTGCCTGTGCAGACCTTATGGGTGGGTCCTGCAAGGAGGGTGGCGGGAGGGGGCATCTTTTCAGGCACTCCACACCCACTATCACCTCTCCTCCTGAAGAATACTCTGCTTGTCACCAAAACAGGCCAACATGTTCCTTTGTCACAGATGTTTCTCACTGGAAACCCCTCAACCCCAGGACTGTATCTGTTTCGGGATCTTGGGGATGCTGGTAAAAATCGGGATCAAGTTCAAGCGTCCGTTTCACTTGGGGTCAGAGGCTTCCCAACAAGTGGTCGGGGTAAATTGTGATGAACAAAACAAGATGGAGTATGAAAAGACCCAAATACGGTTGTCTCTCTGCACTGGGTGCATTTTGAGAGGACGGGGCTCTACCCAGGGATGCTCAGAGGCAAGGGTTCAGGAACAAAAAAACCTACATTTGCGTCCCTGTCGTAGGGATCTCATCCTCGTGTCCTGGAAAGTGGGTGACCCACCCTCCTTCAACCTGAAAAGGCTCCTGCTTAACTGGGACCTCGCCCACCTCGAGCCCACCACCCTTTAAGAAAGGGGGTGCCAGTCCGGGCGCGGCAGCCGGGGACAGGGGAGAAATAAATTAGACCCCCTTCCCCAGGCGCCCCTCGACGCCACCTGCCAGTCAACCCCCGCCGGTGAAGCCGCAGGGTCCCCGCCCACCCCACCTGCGGGTGCGGCCCCGGGGCCCCGGCTCCGGCGAGGGAGGAGCGCGCGCTCGGGTGCGAGCAGGACACGGCCCGGCCGCGCGGGAGGGCGGCGGCGGCGGCGGCGGAGGAGGGCGCTGAAGCCACACCCATCGGCGAGCCGATTCCGGGGCAGCGAGTCGTCCGCCGCCGCGCTCGAGCCTCCGCCCGCACCGAGCCGCGGGACCCGGGACGTACTGGGGAGGGGCCGCTCCGGGCCGCAGCGCGAGGGCAGCGAGGGTCGGCGGGGACCCGGCACCGGGCGGGGCCGGCGGCAGCGACCATGATCGCTTTGTTCAACAAGCTGCTGGACTGGTTCAAGGCCCTGTTCTGGAAGGAGGAGATGGAGCTCACGCTGGTCGGGCTTCAGTACTCGGGCAAGACCACCTTCGTCAACGTGATCGCGGTACGAGGGCGCCAGGCGCGGAGGCTCCGGGCTCCGGCCGCGCGTTGGGCCTGTCTCCGCCCGCGCCGCGCCCTGCTGAGCCGGGGTCGCCGCCTGGCATGGCCGGGCACGGCCGGGCGCCGGGCGGGGGAGGAGCCGGCCCCGAGCGCTTGGGGCCTAGTACGGCCCGTGCGGTGGGGGACCCGGCGGCGCGCGACCCCTCTCCCACTCGGGCGGGTACTGCACGGCTGGGGGCAGAGGAAGGGGGGCGAACAGACAGGGCCGGTGCCACGGGGCAGGCGGCACCGAGGGGCTCTCGAGGCAGGAGGGACCCGCCGCCGGCTGAGGCGGGCCCCCTCTAGCCCCCGCGCACGGGGGCATGACGGGGCGAAAGTGCCCGGGCCTTCCTGTCCCGCGGGCAGAGGGTCAGGGGTAGGTACCGCCGAGTGGCTTGGGAAGGGGTCCGGGAAAAGCCCAGCCGCACCCAGAGGGCTTAACCCCTCCTTGCCGGAAGAGGAAGCCCCTGGCCTGTTGAGGGGGAGGGGAGGTATCCCCGGGGGTAGAGGAGTCAGCTGAGGCCCTTGGCTGCAGCCCAGACTCCTCCCCAACCTCTCCCCGACCCGCAGTGTCTATGGGGGTCCAGGGGGGATGGCATGGTAGCGGGAGTTTGGAGACTCCGTCCTGCTCGGAAGTTGCGGGAGGAGGTGGTCCGACAAGAGGATGGGGTGCAGGGGCACTGCCCGCTGGGGCCCCGGGAGAGTGGCTCGAAGGACTGTGGGTAGTCAGCACTGAAGTGGGTGATTGTAAGAGTCTTTCAGTGCCGGGCGAGTGGTGGGGAAGGAGTTAAAATCTCTCTCAAAAAAAGGGGAAGATGAGCTCCATGGGTGTGAGCCGAGGCTGCAGTAATGGCTGCGGCCTGCCTGTCAGAGCCAGGCTAGACAGGGCTTGCGGGTAGAAGCAGCCTGGGACAGGAGCTGGGGTTGTCCAGGGCCCTGGCCCCAGTCCCAAAGCTGAGGTTGCCAACAACTGTGAGTTGGCCAGACAGTAACCAAAGATACTGATAAGAGAGGTCAGCAGAGGACCGTGTCTGGCTGGGCCAGGTACCCCCAGCTGCCTGTGGTGTTGCCCTGCCTTGCAGAAGATGGGCCTCCGGACAGGTCTTAGCATCTCAGAAGGTAGGGGACGTCACTTCACTGGACCTGAGGCGTGAAGGCAGATGGAAGGCTCCAGGGCCAAGCACCCCACGGTTGTAGGATCGAGCACTGGCTTCCTTTCCCAAACATGCTCTGCCGATGACCTCTGCCCTTCCTCGACCCAGCGTCTCCTGGCTCCTGGCCTAACAGGGCAGCGCCTTCAGGCCAATGCTGTGGTTTTGGCACAATGGTTTTCAGAGCTAGTGCTCCGGGGTTCTGTCTGCCCAGGCTCTGCCCTTGAGGCCAGAGACCCTCTGGTTAAACTTGGCACTGACTATGGCTCT